AGACTAATGATGCCTACACGACCCCCAAATTGGAAGGCAGATATTTTTTCATATGTATCACAACAGATTAATTAATTCAACAACAATTCAGTTACTCCTACCATATTTTAGGCGTTATTTTGGATTCTGTTTTTTGTAATGACCAGGATAGCATGTTCCTTGCCCTCAAGAATCTCACATTATGTTTGGGAAGGCAGTCACACAATCTGAGAAGCTCAATAAAAGTCTGTAAGTGATGAGTTTGATGGCATTTGCAGTATAGTGTGTTGACGTGAAAATGGAACACAGGAGAGGAGAAGAAAGTGAAGCTGACTGGAGATGAGTGGTCATAGAAAAACAGAGTACCAGGAGAGTAGGCTGTTTGTCTATGTGTGAACATGCTCACTTGAATTTCACAATTCCACTGACTTCTTAGCTCATGTTCTCGGTTTTGCCAATATAAGACCAAGTGATATCTAAGCCTTTTACCTATAAAAATAAAATAATGTAATTAGCTGGCTTCTATTAATCTAACAAGACATTTATTCAAGAAATATTTCTTGAGAGCCTATTTAGCACCAATAACACTGTGTTTGGGAAGCCTTCAGTGTCATGTCCAATGCAGGCCCACTGTGAGGCCAAATCCGAGGCTGAGGGAGTAACAGAAGGTGCCAGTTACACTATGAAGTTAAGATATCAGGAAAACACTGGTTCTTGATGGTTCTGAGAAAAGGATAAAAGGCCACACCCTCTCTGAGTGAAGAAAATTTAGGTAGGGAAATACCTTGGGTTTACACACTTCTTATATATTATTTCCAACACACATTTTGTAAATTAGTTTTTATTCTTTATAGAGCATGTAGCTTGTACTATTACTATTAAGCCAAGAAACAATTCTTTCTGCCTATCAAGGCCCAGGGCCCCTGGGTTCTGGGGACACAGGGAAAATCCAGGCTCATTCAAGTCATCAAAGCTCTCATAGTCTAGTGGGAAGATGGTTATGCAGAAATATAATTTCCAAAATGATGTAATGAGGGCTTTGGCAAGGGTAAGAACAAGAGGCTCTGGGAACACAGAGGAAGGATCCTAAACCACAGCCAAAAGGATGGGTAGACAGAATTAGCACAGGCTCCTCTCAGAGGTTGTGAAAATGAAGTAGATATTATTATCCCCAATTTACAGGTGTGGAAACTGAGGGTCAGAGAGGTTATGAAACTTACTCAAGGTCACACAGCAAGGCAGAGGTGGGGCCAAATTTCAAGTCTAGTCTTCTCCAACCCCAGCGTCTCATGCAGTTTGCATTACCCTAAGCTCACTCTTTTTTTTTTTTTTTTTTTTCTAAGACAGAGTCTTGCTCTGTTGCCAGGCGCCAGGCTGGAGTGCAGTGTTGCAATCTCGGCTCTCTGCAATCTCTGCCTCCTGGGTTCAAGCAATTCTCCTGCCTCAGCCTCCCGAGTAGCTGAAACTACAGGCACGCACTACCACACCCAGCTAATTTTGGTATTTTTTAGTAGAGATGGGGTTTCACCATGTTGGCCAGGATGGTCTCGATTTCTTGACCTCGTGATCCGCCCACCTCGGCCTCCCAAAGTGCTGGGATTACAGGCGTGAGCCACCGCACCCGGCCACCCTAAGCTCACTCTTATGACAATGTCATCTGTTTTTATTACCAGCCACCAGCTACACTTCCTGGTGCTCTGCTTGCTAGAAATATTTTTTTAAAGTGCTAAAAACAGTTTTTGGATCAGCTATATAATTTGTGAAGTCCAGTGAAAAATAAAAATGTGGAACAACTGGTTCAAAAATCATTAAGCATTTAAAATGGCAACAACACATCATTAAAGCAAGCAGGGGCCTGTGCAACTGTACAGGTCATGTGCCCATAAAACCAGCCCTGTTCAGTATAGTAGCTGATTGTGGCAACTTCCAGGGAAAGGCAGCTGAAGGATTTTCGGGTACTTCCAGGTTCCCTGCAGAGGAACCTTGGAGTGAAAGCTGTGCTCAGCTGTGAGGAATGCAGGGCTCTGAAATGGGCCTTTCACCCCTGCCCCTTTCTCAGTTCACAGTTTCTGGGGACTGGACACCATTAGACAGGGGGACACAAAGGGAAACTACAGATAGGGCACATGAATTCCCAGGAAAGACCTGTAATGTTGCTGTTACTTTCCAAACTTGCTCCTGCTTCTTGGTAGATAAACCTTTCCTACACAATCAATTATAACCTCCTGCTACGATTATTTTCATGAGTGACATGAGTTAATGTGATTGGGCTAGAATTTTTCACCTTCCATATGAAGTTTAGGTTGATAGAGTAACTTTACACAATACAAAACCAACACCGTTTCTCATAATAAATAGCAGTAGATGAACATGTCCAAACCATTACCTTCACACTTGGCAAAACAGTAGTACTCTCTGCAGGAGTGTATCATACAGTTTACTCACAAAAGAAGTTAATAACCTCTCAAAGGGCCATGAGAGTCCACAGTTCAATGTGTCTTTCCTCCATATTATATTTTATATAACCTCTCTTCCTCAATGTCTTTATCTATAAAATGGGCTCAATATGAACATCTACTTCCTAAGGTTGTTCTGTGAATTGAGTTAGCATATGTATACTTATATAACATATACAAGCATACTATGATTTTTACCTGTTATATCTGCATGCCACGTATTGTATGAAGACAACTTGCAGTCAATAATGTTAATCCTTGGTGTATTCCATTCATTCGTTAAAATCAATATTTTAAACAAGATACAAACAATGCTGGGAGGAAAATTACTGTTCTCAGAAGCATTCACGTAACTACTGCAAGTATAAATTTGTTAAATTCCTAGAGTTTGTGCCTCCAAGGCTCAATCCTTGTTTTTTTTACATTTTTGCGCAGTGGCCTCTGGTATTGGTAAAAACGTTGCTCAATAGCTTGTGGAAATGTCTTCATATTTTAAAGAACTAAGTACAATAAAGACTGTCCCTCTCAATTTTTGAAACAGCCAGTTAGATTTTCAAGGTATTGTTGTTTTAGGAAAGACCAGTAAAATGTTCTGGTTTTTCCTAAAAAGCGGCAGTCAGAAATATCTGGACACAAGATCATAATCCTAATCAGAATAAGAACCATCTCTACTGGGCACTCACGATGTACAAGACACTGCTGGAAGCACTTAATATCGACCATCCATTTTAATCCTTACAATAATGTTAGAGGATGCACTCTTACTGTGCCCAGTTGACAAATGCAGAAGCTCTGGATCCCAGGTTAACTAACTTGCCTAGGGTCACACAGTGAATCAACAGGAACAACAGAATTCAAACCCAGAAATTCTGACTCTGGAGCCAAGCTCTATTAGCGATGAGATTTGGAAAATCACCAACTTGCTTTGAGCCTCAATTTTCACATCTGTGAAATGGGAATAAATGTAGGCCCTCCAATACTGGGAGGCTGTGACTTGCTGCACTGAAACTGTCTACTTCTTGTCTTAGTCTTTGGATACCTAGAATTACCGAAGAAAAAGAAATAAAACAGAGAGAGAGCTTTTAAAATGTGTTCTTTCCTTAGGAAGGACCTTGCAGATCCCAGAAAGAGTCTTGAAGAATGAGGGTACCTGAAACATTTTCTAGAAAAGTGGCAGGATGTTGGGGCCTGGTGGGCACACAGGTCCCACTTGTCCCTGTGGACTCTTAGCTTTGTGGTGTGAATAAAGCATGAGCAGGACCTGAACAGGACCCTCCAAATTGTGACTAGGGCACTTTTTAGTCAGGTCTATGCCTGTACTGTTCACATACCAGAATAGCAAAGGAGAGGAAAAATATGAGAAGGGAGTGAAAGGGAGTTTCTTTTGCTGGTTTGCTTTTTTTTCACTCTATTCTTTTACTGTGATCTCTATTATGCTCCTACAGCTTAAATTTTTGAAAAATAGCTGAGTTTAATTACAAAAGTAGTTATATGGTCAATGTGGAACTTGTAGAATATAGAAGACCATATCACCAGTTATTAAAGAACCAGATATACACCTTGTTCAGAGCATGGTGTATGCCCATGTATTTCTCTCCAAATGTCGACACACACACACACACTCATATATCTGCTCAAACTCAGTTACAATTATTTTTGTTACACTAAGATTACAGATTAACACATATTTTCACTAAATGTCTGATCATTTTCCCAACAGTTATTAGCCCTGAATCACCTTTCCACATTCTCCCCACCTGCAAAGACCTCAGAAGCCCATTTCCCACACATACACTTTTTTTTTCCTTTAGAAACTGAGACATTCCCCTCTCAAGCTCCTGACTCCTGCGGTTCCCCATTTTCCTGATCCTGGATCTTCCTCCCAGCTTCCCTACTTCCATCTGGGTTATCTTCCCCTCCCTCTCACCCCACACTTCATCATGCCCTGCTTCTTTCCTGACCCTGGATGTCTCCATCACCCCTCCTTTTCTCCAATCACCTTGGGTTAAACCCTGCCCTCTTTTCTTCCCCAAGTTGCTAATCACCTCTGCTAAGAGGGTATATAGAGCCTAAGAAAGAACTTTCTGCACATATCCCCATTTCAATCAGTGGGAATAAATTATTGCTAGAGCAGTATTTTATCTCTTCTCTTACCCAAAGGATAAGCTAGTATGTTAACAATTTTCTTTAATCCTCTAAATAGGATATAGGATTAACGATTTTTTGAACCGCAATAAAAAAACACACCTCTACATTTTTAAAACAAAATCAACACTTTACTAATTAAAACAGTTCATAACAGAAAGCAACTTGGAAAACAGAAGTCTCAGCTCAAGGGCAAAAGCAAACTCTTGAGGAAGAAGGTGGGCCAGAATCAAAGGCCAACAGCAGGTTAAGTGCTAGGTGGTGGAGTCATGGGGAGGGGAGGCTTCAAAACTAAGCAGAATGTTGGTTAACAGCTAGAACTTTGGGAGACCTCGCAGGTAACTACAGGGCAGGCAGCCCATTCACAAAGTAAGTAGATGCTGATTCCTTCTGTGAGTCTTAGAGGATGCTCACAGAAGGTCACAGCTCAGGTAGTGGTGGGGGATGAGCTGTGCTCTCTATTTCTGCCTGCTCTTCTGGAGGGACAGGGCTTGGAGCATAAAGCTCAGGCATCAAGGCACGCCTAAGGCTAGCAGGGCTAGGAGTGGAGATAGATCTCAGGCCCAAAAACTCAGGGGAAGAGGAAGAGGAACTCTGCCCAGAAATCTTAGTTGGGGAGGAGGAAGGACTTGTGCCAGGAGACCTACTTGAGGAGGAGGAGGAGGAGGAGGAACTCTCATCCCACTGCTGAGGGATGGGAATGAAGTACCTCCCAGGGGGTGAGGGTGAGGAGGCACGCATACGGACTGCATGCCAAACAGGTGGGGAAGGACTGCTTGGCACCTCAGGATCAGGAAGGCCTGAGCTGCTCTGAAAGGCAAGCCTTCGTAAGCCAGCCCCACAGGAAGGATTCTCATCAGCTGGCCCAGATAGAGAACGGCGGCTGAGAAGGACTGATCTTCGCTGGGTGGAACGGCTCCGGAGGCCAGTGCCTGGCGTCATGCTGGTGCTGCGACGAGCAGGGGTTGACCTTGCTGTGTGGCTGCGAAGGGCACGGCCTGGCGGATGGCCACGGCATTGGCGCGGAGGGCTTGGCCCGGATGTGCGGCCTCGGAGGGCAGGGCCTGACCCGGAAGCAACTCTGCGGAAAGCGTGGCTGCGGTGATCAGGGCCTGGCGTAGATGCACGGCCTCGCGGAGCCGGGCCTGGCGCAGATGCACGGCCTCGCGGAGCCGGGCCTGGCGCAGATGCACGGCCTCGGCGAGCGGCGCCTGGCGCAGATGCACGGCCTCGCGAAGCGGCGCCTGGCGCAGATGCACGGCCTCGCGAAGCGGGGCCTGGCGCAGATGCACGGCCTCGGCGAGCGGCGCCTGGCGCAGATGCACGGCCTCGCGAAGCGGCGCCTGGCGCAGATGCACGGCCTCGCGAAGCGGCGCCTGGCGCAGATGCACGGCCTCGCGAAGCGGCGCCTGGCGCAGATGCACGGCCTCGCGAAGCGGCGCCTGGCGCAGATGCACGGCCTCCGCGAGCCGGGCCTGGCGCAGATGCACGGCCTCGGCGAGCGGGGCCTGGCGCAGATGCACGGCCTCGGCGAGCGGGGCCTGGCGCAGATGCACGGCCTCCGCGAGCGGGGTCTGGCGCAGATTCAGGGCTTAGATGAGCGGGGTCTGGCGCAGATTCAGGGCTTAGACGAGCGGGGTCTGGCGCAGATTCAGGGCTTAGACGAGCAGGATCTAGATGAATGGCAAATGGTGGAAAAGGAAGGCCTGGCAGGGCGATGAAACGTCGGAAAACAGGCCCTGCAGCAGAGGCATAGCTGAGGAGTGCAGGGCCTGGCTGGGTTGCCTGACTTGACGTAGAAGCCTGGGAACGGCGACGGCTGCTGGGCTGGGACCCTGGAGAAGACGGCGGCAAAAGCCTAGGAAACAGACAACGCCCTGGAGGCTTCTGAGCCCAGGCACCCTGGTCTCGGCAGGGCTGCTTCCTACGACGGTTGTTCCAAGGGCTCTTGGTCCCGGCTGGGTGCTCGGCGTGGCCAGTGGCCTTCGGGGGTGGCCCCACAGCAGCCTGGCTGCCCCCCTCAGGCACCTCACATCCAAGGTCTTCGTGAAGACTGCAGCAGGCCTGGAGGTCAGAATGCCTTTCCGCCGAAACAGGAGCCATGATGGGCAGCCCCGGGTTCTCATCGGCAATGAAAATGGCGGCAGCGGCAGAACCGGCTCTGCTGCTGCTCAGGGCGGCGCAGCCCGAGGGAGACGCGTCGCTGGAGACCGTGGGAATGGAGGCAGCAGGATCTTGATTCCCGGTCCTGCAGGCATCCCCGGAGGCAGGGGCGGCTTCCTTGTTTGGTATTCCCGGCACCTTGTCCCGCTGGTGCTTCTGCTCCGTCTCCATGTTGGACTGGGTGACCGTAATGCCAAGTTCTCCCTCAGAGAGCGACGAGCGCGGCTGCTACTGCTGCCGGAGGAGAGTGCGAGCTGGTATAGCAAGAAGGTGGGTGGAGCCCGGCCAGTGCTTGCCTCTGAATGGTGAGCTAAATGTCACATGACTCTTCTCTCTTCCCCAGAGCCATCCAACTCCGAGCCTTGCAACCCGGAGCCAGGCACCTGTATTCAACCCGGTGTGTGTGCTCCAGCCCTCGGGGATCGATCCTTCGACCCTGGCCGCTGGGTCAATAGTGTGAATCTCCTCTCCTCACACGGGTCCCCTAAGACGTGTGTGTGTGTGTGTGTGTGTGTGTGTGTGATACGTGAATGATTTGAGTCACTCCAAATCGTGGCTGAGGCTTAAATGGTCATTTGAAAGAAATGCCACATTGGCCGGCAGGTTTTATCTCCTAGCCAGGTGTCCCTCCTCGCACCCGGTCAGGACAATGGGCTCATGGATGACGCCCGAGGGATCACTCTGGAACTCCTCCAGGCATCTAGATGACCCTAAGTGGGGTCTGGTGGGTTTCAGGGTTTCACAGAGGCCTGAAGGCGAGAAGAGGGAGGGGCCCACACCGTCTTGGCTCTGGATGTTCAGCACGGCGGCTTCCCTCAGGTCCCACACACCAGAGGGGGATTTAGAACTTAACAGTCAGATGCTTCTCCCTGCCTTGTCCCCTGAGGCACTGTTTGGGATTGCCTAAGGTTAAGGGTAATACCGTCCTTAAATATTTGTAGGGGCTGTGTAGTAATCTGCTAATGAACACACATTAATTTATTTGGCGTGGTCTCTAGTTCCTATTAATATAAATATGCCGTGATGTACAGACTTTGAGTTTAATATTTGGATACTAATTTTTAGTCATTATTTATTACAAAAGGGGACATGTTCAGTCCTCAAAACAGAAAAGCAAATGTAGGAAAACTGTTCCCAAGTCCTCACGCACCAATGGACAAATGCTGGAAATTTTTACTTAGATGTTGGTAGAAAGGCCATACATATATATTTCATAGTTTTTAAAAATTGTTTATTGTATGAAATGGAATAGTGTCTCCATCAGTACTGTGTTGTAACCAGCTTTGGGTTCCAGAAAGTACACTTTCTATGTCAGTAAACAAATTTCTACAAGACCACTTTAAATCACAAAATACTCCATATATAGAGGCTTACATTTTCAAACATTCCCATATTGGCCACCATTTGTGTAGTTTCCAGCATCTTACATCATTGTGAGATACGTCTATCTCGTTAAAAATTGTTCATATCCTTAAATGTGTCATTGTAGATAAATTCCCAGAAGAGAAAATTCTTGGTACAAGTCTATGCATATTTGTACTTATTTTATTTATTTATTTATCTATTTATTTATTTTTGATATGGGGTCTGGCTCTGTCTCCCAGGCTGGAGTGCAGTGGCGCGATCTTGGATCACTGCAACCTCCGCCTCCCAGGTTCAAGTAATTCTCCTGCTTCAGCCTCTGGATTAGCTGGGACTACAGGCGCATGCCACCATTCCTGGCTAATGTTTTTGTATTTTTAGCAGAGGCAGGGTTTCATCATGTTGGCCAGGCTGCTCTCAAACTCCTGACCTCAGGTGATCCGCCCACCTTGGCCTCCCAATGCTGGGATTACAGGCATGAGCCATCGTGCCCAGCCACATTTGTTATTCTTTGATTTAAAATATTGGCAAACCAGTCTCCTGAATGTCACTGTTATAATATTTTTAGCAGAATAAAATCGGATATTTAATGGAATTGGTGAACAATTGGGCTGAAATGCAACTCAAAAACAGAATGGAATGGTATTTGGAGTGTTAAATACTGTAGGATGGAAAATGGATTTGAAATGGTATATAGGATGGGATGAAATGGAGACTGCAATGGAAACTGGAATAAAATGGGGAGTAGAACATGGGTTTGAACAGGATGTGGAATGGAATATTGGAAATTTAATGGGAAAATGGAATGAACAGCAAATGGAAACAAATATCTAATGTCATATGGAATAAAAGAAAAATATATGAGAAAAGGAATGAAGTACAATATGAAATAAAATATTTAAAAAAAGGAAATCAAAATTGGAAGGAATATAGAATGGAACAAAGTGTGCAATGGTCTAGAATAATTGAACTATGAAATATGCAGCATAGATTTTTAAATACCAGAAAAGAATAGAATGAGATTTGGAATGAAATACAGAATACAGTTTATAAAGAATGAAATGGGAATTGAATAAGAATGGAATATGGAAACTGAAATCTTGATAAAATACAGGATGGATGTAAGTGAAGAAGAAAAATGAACAGAATGTCTGCTCATCATTATTCCACAATTCAGTGTCGTGAAACAACATCCATTTTATCATTCCCAGGGATTTTGTACAGCTAGAATTCAGACAGTAGATAGTGGGAATGGATTATCTGTGTTCCTTGATGTCTGGGACTTCAACTGAAACTTGAATGGCTGTGAAATCATGAGAGAAGGACAGCAGTAAATGATGAATCCTATATTTTTACGGATGGTGGTGCCACTTACCAAAACAGGGAAAACTTGTTCAGTTGGAAAGATCGGGAAGATGGTGAGAATCAGTGATTCTGTTATGACCATGTTAACCACTATTCCATGTATAGTCCTAGTAATTTTGGGGTATCAGCCCCACTTATGGCTATTTCCTTTGTTCTGTAGTTCAACTTTCACTACTTTTACAGATCCGATTTTCCTCTTGGGAATCATTTCAGTTTACTGAGAGTTTTCCTCCTTTCTTGAATCTCTGTGGGCCTTAGTCATGGTCCCTGACTTAGTAATAATTAAAATGTTCCCCATCTACCCTTGCTCTCTTTAAAAGAATATATATATATATATATATATATATATATATGTGTCTTCTTTTTTTTTTTTTTTTGCTATCTTCTAAGATCTCAAACTGTAAAGAAGCCCCTCTTTTTAACTCTATTGTCTTCAATACTCTCTCCTTTCTTTTTGCCTCTGTTCCATTTAAAAGTATATATGTATCTATGTGCTCATTAAAAAAATCTGAAAGGGTGATTTTTCATTCTTGTCATACTTCATCTTCTGAAAGATTTCAATGAGCATATATCACTCTTGTTCTAAGAATATACAGCTATTATATTCCTGAAAACAATTACATTTAATCAGGTTTTAAGCTATTGTAAGAAAACAAGCTTTACCAGATAGAATTATAAATTCATAGCACCTTCCAAGATGAAAATTTGATAATATGATGACACATATAAAAAGTTTAAATGAAATTCATAATTCCTCTCCAGGCATGAATTCTAAAAAAAAAATACTCATATATGTTCACAGCGTTATATGCTCAAAGGTGATTATTATAGCAACCGTTATTTTTAAAAATCTGCAACAACCTCAATTTCCAGTAGGATGCTAGATGCCTATAGAATAAACTTATATAGATTTTACAGGATGTTTTTGAAAAGTTTTTAATGCCATAGGAAAATGGCTATGAGATTAAAAAAAAGAAAACCATGATGCACTGTATGTACTATTTACATCTATCTATTTTTACATTTACCTAGTTATTAAAATTTTGTTCATCATAGTACAGTTGTTGTTCTCAGCCAGGGGCACTTTCCCCCCAGGGGAAATTTGAAAATGTCTGAAGAGTACCATAATTAGGAGGAGGAGTTCTACTGGCGTTTAGTATACAGGCATCAGGGATGCTGCTCAACCCCTTCAATGCACAGGCGAGCCTCCAACAACACAGAATTATGTGGTCCAAAATGCCAATTGTGTGAAGTTTGGCAAACCCTGCAGTACAGATTTAGATAACTCAGAAATGAACTCCTGAGCTCAAGTGATCTGACTGCCTTGGCCTCCCAAAGTTCTGGGATTACCGGCATGAGCCACCAGGCCTGGCATGATTGCTAAGAATTTACAAAATTTAAGGTCTGTAATTTCAGCTCATTTAGATGGAGAAATATTCCACAATAATCTATCAGAGATGTTCAAATTTCTAATACAATCATTAATTTCTAAATATTTATGTATTTGTTTAAAATAAAGAAAAACTGATTTATAACACAGTATAGCTGATATATAAAGAGTAGTGTGGTTAACTAACCAGGTCATAGTAATCTCCCTACCACTCTGGTGACTGGTTTGGTAATAGGCATTTCCCACTTGCAGTAAATAAGATATGGATGCTTGTGTTTTAGGGTTTGCGGGGAAAGGTTTCTCAGCTCTTCAAAAAATAAAAGATACAACATGTTTTTTATATTAAAAAATTAAAGAATATATCTCAAATATTAGAATTAATAAATGATTTGGTATAATCACTGGACATAAGGTCAATATTACACAATGGAATTGTATTTCCACATATTAGCAGTAAAAATTATAAAATTTTAAAAATGCCATTTCCTATAGCATCAGAAAATATCAAATACCTAGGAACAAATCTAATAAAAAATTCATAAGACATTTGTCCAGAAATCAACATGACATTTCTTAAATAAAGAAGCCCTACATTAATCAGAGATATGTCATGTTTGTAGATTAGTCTAATTTTATGAAAATTAAATCAGAGAAAATTCTCATCCAAATAATCTATGTATTCAATGCAATGCAAATCAAAATCTCAACAGATTGTTTGAAAATGGAAATCAACAAACTGATTCTAAAATATGTATGGATATCAAAGATCTAAGAACAGCCAAAGCCATCCAGAAGAAGAAATTTGAAGAACTTTCAGTCAGAAAAGCCATAATAATTAATATGATTTGTGTACAAGAATATTTTGTTATGCAGGAATAAGTATATATATGTTTAGGTAAATAGATAAATAGACCAATAGGACAAGAAAAGAGTCCACAAACAGACACACAAGTATGGTCACCTCATTTACAACAAAGATACCAATACAGTGCTCAGGGAGAAAGTTAATCATTTAAGTAAGTGGAACTGGACAAATTGGATATACAGCCATGTAGCAAAAATAACTTTGGCTCCCAACTTATGCCATACACAAAAATCAATTCCAGAAGATATAGCTTCTATAAAATAATATATAAGCATATCTAGATGACCTTGGGGTAAATTATATCTGAAACAACAGAAAAACCGCTAATGATAAAGGAAAATATTAACTACAGCTAAACACTCATGCACGCACACATTCAGAAAACGTTTCATGTACAGAATAAAGAATAAAAGTAAATGCAATTCAACACTGGCACAATATTTCAACAGGTACTTCACAAAATAGGATATTAAACTGACAAATAAAAGACTGCCCAAAATAAGTCACCATGGATATGTAAGTTAAAATCGCAAGACGACATCAGCAAACATCTATCAGAATAGCCAGAATGACTATCAATATGAGGAGCTGGGGAGGGTATAAAGGAACTGAAACTCTAACTGCCAGTAGGAGTGTAAATTAGTACCCTTGGAAAACTGCTTGGCAGTACCTATTAAAGCTGAATTTATGCATTTTCTATAACCCAGCAATTCCATCTGTGTTACTTTTCTGTACCTGCATAACCAATCATCACAAATTTAATGGCTTTATTTTTTTATTTAAACATTGTGCATTTATTTAAGCTCCCAGTTCTACAGGTTTACAGTGCCATGCATGGTATGGCTTGGTACTCTGTTCAGGTCTCACAGAGTGAAATCAGCCTGTGCTATCTGTCAGTCAGTCTGTGTTTCTTTCTGGGGACTGAGGAGGAATATATTTCCAAACTCATTCAGGTAACTGGCAGATTTCAGTTCCATTTTTAGCTGCTAGAGGCCTCATGCAGTTCTTTGCCACATAGAGCTCTACATATTCCTCCTCACACTTCTAATCTTCCAGGAAGGGTTCAGGCCGTCTTAAGGGCTCACTTACTTAGGTCTGGCCCACACCGGCCAACCTCCTTATTTTGAGGTTCACTGATTTGGGAGCATAATTCATCTGCAAGATCTTTCCCCATATAGTGTAACATAATCAAGGGAGTGGTATCTCATCATATTCACAGGCCATTCTTACACTCAACAGAAGAAGTTCATGTAGATCAGAGATCATTAGAGGCCATCTTAGAATTCTGCCTGCCTCAGCCTGCCCTCTGGCTCTCAGTGATCCAGTCTTTCCCACATACAAAATACATCAAATCCATCCCACAGTCTCCAAATTTCTTTGTATTACAGCATCAGCTCAATTCCAAAGCTCATCTGAATCTCATCATCTGAATCATTAACAGATGAGATTCCTGGGTATGATCCTATCCAGTAAAACTCCTAGGGCAAAAATCCCTCTCCAACTTCGGACCATCAGCACTAAAGTGACAAGTTATCTTCCCCCAACACCACCACATACAATAATGGGACGGGCATAGGATAACATCTATAAACATTCTGTTTTATATGGAAGGGGATGGAAGGCAGAAAAGAGGAGTCCCAAAACAGTTTGGATATCCAGCTGACTTCTACTAACAGCTGTCCAAGGCAATTTAGGCTTTCCCTACCATGCATCTCAAAATTCCTCCACCCTTTGCTTGCTTTCCCGTTCCAAAGCCACATCCACATTTTAAGGCATTTACAGTGACTACACCTCACATCCAGATATCAAAATCTATAGTGGTTTCTATTGGTGTGAAACACATTGCTACAGCCTTAGCAGCTTGCACCAACACTCATTTATTAGCTCACAGTTGTGTAGGTCAGAGTTCTGTGCACTGTGTGACTGCTTTCCCCGCTCAAGATCTCACAGGATGAGATGCTCTTGGACTTCCTGTGTTCCTTTCTGGAGTCTCTGGGGAAGAAGCCCTTGCAGACCCATCTATGTTGCCAGCTGAGTCCAGTGCCCTGTAGCTGTAGGACTGAGGCCCCTCCACTGGTTTGCTGGCTGTCAATAGGGGGCAGCAACTCATCACCTAGAGGACACCTGCAGTTCCTTGTCATGTGGCCCCTCCAAATGCTCTCTCATGTTTCAAATCTCTCAGCAAAAACCTGGGCCCTTGTAAGTGTTCACCTAATTAGGTAGGTCTTGCTCACCCACTTTAAGGGCAATTGATTTGTGACCTTAATTACATCTGTAAGATCCTTTTTGCCATATGAAGTAATATAATCATAAAAGTGAGATCTCAAAATATTTACAGGTTCTACCCACACCCAATGGAAAGAGATTATACCAAGACAGGAGTCATTGGAGATCATCTTATAATTCTGCTTACTGCACAAGTATATATCCAACAGAGATACATAAACCTGTATTCCAAAAGACATGATAAGGATGTTCGCGGTGGCATTATTGGAAATAGTCACAAACTAGAAACAATCTAAATATATATCAACAGTTGAATGAATAAATGGTGGTATATTCATACAATGGAATACTATTCAGGAATGAAACAAGCAAATTTCCCTACATGCAACAAAATGTACAGATCTCAAAAGCATTCATATTGAGCAAAAGAAACCAGGCATAAAATGTACATAATTTATAATTCTGTGTGTGTAAAGTAAAAAAAGCGGGCAAAACTATTCTATAGTGACATAGGTCAGAACAGTGCTTGACTTTCAGGGGTAATGACTAGGTATGGACATAACACAGGTTTCTGGGGTGCCAGTAATGTTCTATATTTTGGTCTCACTGTTATTACATGCAAGGGTTCACTTTGTAAAACATCATCAATTTGTTATCCTATATGATTTACACAATATTCTATTTAAATGTTGTATTTAAATGATAAAAAAGATAACAGAAAGAAAAAAATTGTATGAAAGGCAAGAAGAGTTGACAGAAATATGACTGACTCACAATCCCTTATGGGCAAGTCTAACGTCCAAAGTGCTTTGAAAAACATACTTTTCCTGACTAATTTGTCCATAAAACCTGATTTGAACTGATGAGACGATATTTGTAATTTTTAGATCTTGGAGTGAATATTGGTATGTTTCACTGCAAAACTATCATTGCATTAGATTCCACAATATTACTACAGGCCTTGACGTGAATATTATGTATGTATGGGAACCATTTGGTCCCAACAGTTTCATAGAAGGGATTGTGGATGTGTAGTAGCTGAGGATTTTAGTAGGCAAGAACTTAGAATGACTGCAGAGTGCATCAGTTTGATTGAATTTATTGAGTTCTTTGTTCAGTACCTCAGATGATAGGATTTTTTCTCCTTTGACTTATAATGGGTTAATTAAAATATTTCCTAGTATTACACCATGTTCTCATGACTAGGAAACTACCAGGATGTGATAGATTTGTATATACAGTTGAATTTTATGGACTTAAACTTTATTAATTAAAAATTAAATGTAAGTTAATAAGTGAGAGAGATCCACATCTTTCTTTGTGTGTGGTGGACTATCTCTGCCAGGTTTTGGAATCAGAGTTTAGACTTCCTTCATTAAACAAATTTGGAAGATTTCTGTCTTTGCTTCTAGACTCTAAATCACTTTTTTGTTGGCTTAGGGATCTGTGATTCCTCAAAAGAATTGAAAGATTGTATTCAACTCTCCTTGTGCTTTTATCAGTAATTTTGGTTCCCAATCCTAGTGGAACAGTAACACCATTTTTCTGATAAAGGCATAGCTATTCAAAAATGTGTAGAGGGAGAAGGTATACATAACATCAGATGGATTTGTGAGACTACCAGTTCCACCACTTAGTGTCTGAGTTTCAGCAATTTACCTAATCTTTTGAGCTTTAGTGTCTTCATCTGGGAACTGGGAATATAGTCCCTTCCCTTGCATTGTTTCCTCTAAATTTTGCGAAGTGCAATTTAAAAATTATTACTTAAGCCAATTAATGTTCAAACAGTAACATCTGGATCAAAAGTAAAATGTGCATGTTAATTTACAAACAGTCACAACTAACATTAACAGTAAGTGGTAATAACTGTTTTAGGAATTGTATGTATTTTTGAGCATTTATTTAATCTTGAAATTAAGCTTGATATTTCTATGTATTTTTCTATGTAGAATTTCTACAGATTATTTCTACATAAAATGCATCACTTATTCTTTAATTTTCTCAAAATAACATACATACATGACCTTAAAAGTTCTTAAAGAATAATAGTAGCCTTTAATGAAACCAGAAATCATTTGATTCTAAATCCATATTCGCCCCCACTTCTGCTCTGGCTCCCTGAGAAAACTTCTTTCAACTTTTTTTTTCTGTTTCTCAGGCATTTACCATATTTCTAAATCACAGGGCTTATACTGATTGTAGTATATTGCAAAATGGTCACAAGTGAGACTTTTGGTTTCAGCTCTTTCATTGTAAAGAAGCTGGAAATTGTCACCCCACCTCCTTCTTCTAACAAGAAAAAGCTGAACAAACTGAATCAATGGCTTAAATAAAAAACTTATCGGAGAATTGAGGTTGCAGGGTAAGCCATTACTCTGAAAGACCGATCTAAGAAGTCACTTAAATGGTAAATTTCCTGAATAGCTTCGGGCTGAATGTGGACTAGCATGACAGTAAGGGGTCCTCTACATGTTCATGGGCTTTACCTTTAGGAAAATGTTCCCTTGTCCAGGCAGTGAGGGGTGACGCCGTACACCTGGCGTCAGAGACAGCTGTGTGGCAACTCTTCAACCCACACCTCCTGCGGAAACTTCAGCGCCGGTGTGTGTTGGGTCGGTGATAATGCTTTCATGCTTTCTGTGCCCTGGAGGAGCGTGAAGCCGGAGGTTGCTAAGTGGAGTGTAGGTGCTGCTACTTCTGGCACAAACTGCAGTTGTAATCCAGGATTCACGGGCCTGTAGGGGCTCAGACTTCAAATTGAACCGCGCCTCAGCGGCAGTCCCAGGTACAATAAACGAGGCCCAGCTACCAGACGGCGTCCAGCAGGACCTTGGCGGCGCCCTAGCCGCTAAGCCTCAGACACTGCGCGCCCAGGTTCATCTTATTGGTGGACGCCGCGGGCCCGCGAGTTCGGAGCGGCGCGTACAGCTGTGGGTCTTTGGAGCCGGCCTCGCTAGCCTGCCAGCTTCTTTTCGGTGGTGCTCTTTGCTACCGCTAGCTTCCTGACCCCGGCTTGGACAGCAGGCTGCGGAGCGCCCCTGGCGCCAGGTGACCGAGGTGGCTGCGCAGAAGGTATGGCACGGGTCGGGGAGAGGAGCAAGCGGAGGAACGATCCCTGGGTTGCTCTTTGCTGCATGGTTGGGTGGCGGTTCTCTTTCCTACTCTGCCCATGGCATCCTCAGCCCTGAACGTAAATCCGGCCCAATCGTGGCCCTGCAGCGTGGGCGGCTCAGGTGGGTGTTTGCGGGGGAGGGGAGTTTCCGGTTCTAAGAACTTACTGGGCTGCTGCTTTGTTTGTATTACCAAAATTGGCCACTTGTTGAAAATGACTCTACGAGACCCTTCCCTTTGTTTTAAAATGAGAGCTTTACTGGTATAACATGTTGGTAAAATATATTTGCAGCTCCTTTTCCAAGAGAGATTTTTACATTGTCCACCATACCTGGAGATTGCCTATGCTGTCGTCCTTGTGTGTACTGACATTACATACCCAGAGTTTCCAGCTCATTCTGTTACATACCGGCCCTGTAACCATGGAAATGGCTCCGAAGTTCTCTGGTTCCCAGTAATCTTATACTTTAAAAAAGGGAATAATATATCCTAAATACAGCAGAGAGTAAATGCAAGAATTTATTTGAAATAACACAGCAGAAAGGAACTGGATATATTATATATATGTGTGTATATATATAATATATATACATATTTCTAAATTTTTTTTTCAATAAGTTTTCAGTTTTCATTGGATTTATTTTTAGTTTTTATGCCAAGATTCAGGAAGTGTTCTAGTTGCTGGATGGATAAAAGCCAACATAACTTCATCCTTTTCCTCAAGCGTCTCACAGTCTTGTGTGGTAACCATACACACAGAAAAATTACATGAAAGGGCTTAAAGTGAAGAATTAGAAGTCTTTTAGGAGTATAAGGAGAATGCATATTGAGACACAAAGAGAAAAGCTGCAGACTGAGATGGACTGGGGATGAATGGTCAAAGAAGAAACAGGAAACTTGAGAGAGCTGTCTCATTGTGAGTGTAGGACTCATCTGTTTTTGACAATTCCACTAATCTTTGGGTTCACATTCTTTGTTCTTTCAATGTAACCCATAATGACATCTATGCCTTTCATCTGTAAAATAACAAGAACAGTGGGCTCTAGGAACACAGACTAAGACCCTTTAACCACAGCCAGAGGTAGGTGGGTAGGATTAGCATAGGCTCCTCTCAGAGGATGTGATTGCGAAGTAGATACTGTTATTATCCCAATTTACAGAAGAGTTGTCTGAGAGCCAGAGAGGTTATGTAACTTGCCCAAGGTCTCACAGCAAGACAGAGGTGGAAACCATTTTCAACCCCAGATCTGTCTGGTCCCAGTGTCTCATGCGGTTTGCATTACCTTGAGCTCACTCTTAGTGACAATGTCATTAGTTTTTAATCTCAGCCACCAGTTCCAGGCACTGCTTGCCTTGGAATTGTTAAAAAAAAAAATAATTGCTGAATACAGTGAAGTAACTTATTGGAAGACATCTTCCAAGGAAAGATCCCAAATACTGACACTTTATTGGAAACAATGACTTAAGTGATAGGACCAGGATTGGAGTGCACGTTTGTCTTATCTGACTCCAAAGCCTATGTCATTTTCATAACACTGACATAACACTACGTGTGTTAGTGTATAATGTTAAATCCCCTTTTGTTTTTTTTTTTCTCTTTAGTGAAGCTGAAAATTCACCAGGATTGGGCGAGATTTTTTTTTTTTTTTTTTTTTTTTTGTTTATTTAATTTTCCCTTTTTTTGTTAGTTTTTTTTTTTTTTTTTTTTTTTGAGGCAGAGTCTTACTCTGTCACCCAGGCTGGAGTGCAGTGGTGCCATCTTGGCTCATTGCAACCTCCACCTTCTGGATTCAAGTGATGCTCGTGTGTCAGCCTCCCAAGTAGCTGGGATTACAGGAACCACCCAGCATGCTGGGCTACTTTTTGTACTTTTAGCAGAGAGATGGTTTCGCCATGTTGGCCAGGCTGGTCTTGAACTCCTGACCTCAGGTGATCTGCGTGCCTTGGCCTCCCAGAGGAGGGATTACAGGTGTGAGCCACCATGTCCAGCCTGAGGTTTTTGTTTTAAATAGAGTTTTAGAATGATATTTTAATTCTCAGAATTTATTTTTCCTACCTCAGCTACACTCTACTTAGTTTCTTTGTAAAAATACATAAATGTTCTTTATTTGATGTATACAATTAATTGTAACAACTATCATTTACTCATCCACTATATATTCTTGTAGCACCTTTGAAATAAGTAGTATTATCCCTATTTTCTGTAATAATAATTGCTAACTTTAATGACCGTCTAACGTTTGTATAGTGCTATTCTATCAGGTTTCATCCCAATTTTTTTTCTTCTTCTTTCTTTTTTCCCCCCTTCTCTTGATGCCTATGTAGTTGTGACCAGTTTCATCTCAATTTAATTCTTCCAGACGCTCTAAGAGAGATGAATTATTATGGAGCTTATTTTTCAAATGAGAGAACTGAGGTACAGAGAGGGTCAGAAAATTTCTTATGGTCACACTAGAAGTTAGTAGCGAAGCTGAAGTGAACCAGGCAATCTGACCCTGGAGTCATGTGTTTCTCTCTCCCACTTACTTACTCATAAGTGCACCATGAGTCAATTCACTACATGGAGGAGGACATATGAGCTTGGTCAAGCCCCTCTGCTGTGAAGTTGGCAGCAGAGATTCAAATCCAGGTATGTGTGATTCTAGATCACACATACTCTACTCCCCTTGTTCCTTTCCCTCAAAATGGTTGCCCCTTCTATTCTATTTCATTGACACTGTACAGTAAGCAGATATTTATTAAACATCTACAGTAGAGTGAGGCTTAGAGAGGAAAATCAGAGAAATAGCTCTGCCCTGCAAGCTGTTGCAATCTACTGGGAGAGACAAACACATAAAGAGATAATTTTATTAGAGTGTTGTAAATGTTATGGTAAAGAAAGACTTTCTGGAAGAGGTGGCACTTCATTTATGTGTAAATGGATAAGCAGATGGTTTAAGGGATGTGGGGGTAATTCAGACAAAAGAAATGTATGAGCAGTGGCTCAAAGATTGGAAATAGAATGGTGTGTGGGTGAAGGGGAGCTACAAATACATGTGTTAAATGTGAATGGGAAAGGTGTAGGGCAATGATTTTAATGAGGTTAGCAAGAGTAAGATTATGAGGACCCTTGAATGCCATGCTAAGGACTCAAAGACATATATCATGTCACCTCTACTGTAACCTTCCTTCCCAATTCCGATTCTTGGCGTCTCAGAACTTCCTGAGGCTTGATAGAACAGAATATAAGAGAATGATAGTTTTGGTTCCTAGTGGGTAGAGTGGGGAGGGACATCCAGAAGGAATGAGCCAGTAGGCAGGAAAGCGTACAGGTAGGGACTACATAATGGAAGGGTTTATATCAGTGTGTCAGAGAAAGAAGATGCAAGAGATTGCCGTTTTACTGAAATCCTCATTCTTATTCTCATTCATTCTTATTCTGAAGTTTCCACGATGCCTGCGGAAGTTCTAAGCCTCACATCTGGTGAGTATGAAAGGAGTATGTGTGTGTGTGTGTGTACATATGTAGGATAGAACAAACCTGAAGCTAAGTCTGATTTCTAGATCTAGGTTGGTATAGAGGGAAAAATAATTGGCTTTGGTGGCATAGGAGCCAGGTGATGGGGTGGGGAAGAGCTAACTTACACTTAACATATCTCTATCTACATTTTTCCCAGTAAGAGCATGAGGCTAAAAGTAAGTCCGGTATTCAGAAGGGAATTGCCAGTGTTTGCTTCCATCCCTGAACAGCCAACCAGGGATGCACCTTTTGACTTACACATTCTTTTAGTAGCTATAGTAAGTCTTGGTTGTGCTCTGATCTGGAAGCCAGTAAAGATACATAAATTTATGCAAATCATAAGTTCACAAGCTGATGGTTTTTCTTTTTTTTTTTTAATTTTAATTTTTGTGGGTACATATTAGGTGTGTGTATTTATGGGGTACATATTTTGATACAGGAATACAATGAATTGTAATCAGGGAAAATAAGGTATTCATCACCTCAGACATTTACCCTTTCTTTGTGTTCCAATGCAATTATACATTTTTATTTATTTTAAAATGTATAATAAATTGTGGACTACCGTCATCCTGTAGTGCTATCAAATCTGGATCTTACTGATTCTATGATTTTGTCCCTGTTTACCATCGGCACTCACTCATTCCCACCCACTACCCATCTTGGCCCCTGGTAACCATTACTCTACTCTCTATGAGTTCAATTGTTTAAGTTTTTAGCTCCCACAAATAAGTGAGAACATTCAAAGTTTGCCTTTCTGTGCCTGGCTTATTTTACTTCACATAATGACCTCTAGTTCCAGCCATGGTGCAAATGACAGGATCTCATTCTTTTTCGATGGCTGAATAGTACCCCACTGTGTACATGTACCGCAGTTTCTTTATCCATTAATCTGTTCATCTGGATACTTAGGTTGCTTCAGGGTCTTGGTTACTGTGAATAGTGTAGCAATAAATATGGGAGTACAGATACCTCTTTGATATACTAATTTCCTTTCTTTGGGGTATATATCTAGCAGTTGGATTGTTGGATCATATGATAGTTCTATTTTTAGCTTATTGAGGAACTTCCAAACTGTTCATCATGGTGGTTGTACTAATTTACATTCCCACTAATAGTGTATGATGATTCTTTTTTCTCCACATCCTCGCTAGCATTTATTGTTGTCTATCTTTTGGGGAAAAAAATGTTATTTTAATGAGGTGAGATGATATCTCATTGTAGCTTTGATTTGCATTTCTCTGATAATCATTGATGTTGAGCACCTTTTCCTATGTCTGTTTGCCATTTGTATGTCTTATTTTGAGAAATGTCCATTCAGATCTTTTGCTCATTTTAATTGAATTATTAGACTTTTTGCTGTTGAGATATTGAACTCCTTATATATTCTGGTTATTTATTTATTTATTTTGAGACAGAGTCTCACTCTGTCACCAGGTGCCAAGCTGGAGTGCAGTGACATAATCTCGGCTCACTGCAACCTCTGCCTCCTGGGTTCAAGCAATTCTCCTGCCTCAGCCTCCCAAGTAGCTGGGACTACAGGCGCACGCCATCGTGCCCAGCTAATTTTTGTATTTTTAGTATAGACGAGGTTTCCCCATGTTGGCCAGGATGATCTCGATCTCTTGATCTTGTGATCCGCCCGCCTCAGCCTCCCAAAGTGCTGGTATTACAGGCTTGAGCCACCGCACCTGGCCTATATTCTGGTTATTAAGCTCTTGTCGGATGGTTTGCAAATATTTTCTCCCGTTTTGTGGGTTGTCTCTTCATTTTTTGATTGTTTTCTTTGCTTTGCAAAAGCTTTTGAACTTGATGTGATCCTATGTGTCCATTTTTGCTTTGGTTGCCTGTGCTTATGGGGTATTATTCCAGAAATCTTTGCCCAGTCCAATGTCCTGGAGAGTTTTCCCCATGTTTTCTTTTAGTAGTTTCATAGTCCAAGGTCTTAGTTTTAAGTCTATAATTCATGTTGATTTGATTCTTGTATTTGTTGAAAGATAGGGTTCTAGTTTTATTCTTCCGCATATGGATATTCAGTTTTCCTGGCATTATTTATTGAAGAGACTGTCCTTTCCTCAACGTATATTAAGGCACTTTTGTTGAAAATGAGTTCACTGTAGATGGATAGAGTTATATCTAGGTTCTCTCTTCTATTCCATTTGTCTATGTGTCTGTTTTTATGTCAGCACCATGCTGTTTTGGCTACTGTATCTCTGTAGTAAGTATAATTTGAAATCAGGTAATATAATTCCTCTAGTTTTGTTCTTTTTGCTCAGGATAGCTTTGGCTAATTGGGGTCTTTAGTGATTCCACATAAATTTTAGGATTTTTTTGTTTGTTTCTGTGAAGAATGTCACTGGTATTTTGGTAGGGATTGCATTGAATCTGTAGATTGCTTTGGGTACTGTGAACATTTTAACCTCATTAATTCTTCCAATCCATGGATGTGGAAGATATTTCCATTTTTTTTGTATTCTCTTCTATTACTTTCATCAACGTTTTATTTTTATTGTAGAGATCTTTTACTTCTTTGGTCAAGTTAATTCCTATGTATTTAATTTTATTTGCAGTTATTGTAAATGGGACTACTTTTTAATTTCTTTTTCAGATTGTTTGCTGTTGGCATATAGGAGTGCTACAGATTTTTGTGTGTTGATATCGTATCTTGGAACTTTACTGAATTTATCAGTTTTAATAGGTCTTGGGTGGAGTCTTTAGGTGTTTCCAAATATAAGATCATATCATCTGTAAACAAGGATAATTTGATTTCTTTCTTTCCAATTTGGATGCCCTTTATTTCTTTCTGTAGTCTGATTGTGCTAGATAGGACTTCTGGCACAGTGTTGAAAGCGGGCATCCTTTATCATGTTCCAGTTCTTAGAGGAAAGGCTTTTGCTTTTTCCTTATTCAGTGTGATACTAACTGTCAGTCTGTCGTATATGGCTTTTATTGTGTTGAGTGTGTTCCTTCTATCCTCAGTTTTTTTGAGAGTTTTATCATGAAGGAATGTAGAATTATATCAAATGTGTTTTCAGCATCAATTGAAATGATCATATAGATTTTCCCCTTCATTCTGTTGATAGGATGTATCACATTGATTGATTTGTGTGTGTTGAATCATCCTTGCATCCCTGGGATAAATCCCTTTTAGTAATAATAAATGATATTTTTAATGTGTTGTTGAATTTGGTTTGCTAGCATTTTGTTGAGGACTTTTATATCAATATTCACCAGAGATATTGGCCTGTAGTTTTCTTTCTTTTGATGAGTCATTGTTTTTGGTATCAGGGCAATACTGGCCACATAGAATGAGTTTGGAAATATTCCCTGCTCCTCTATTTTCAAGATAGCTTGAGTAGAACTGGTATTAGTTCTTCTTTAAATTATTGGTAAAAGTCCACAGCGATGTCATTGGATCTCAGAGTTTTCTTTGCTGGCAGACATTTTACTTACAGCTTCTCATTACTTGTATTGGTCTGTTCTGATTTTAGATTTCTTCATGGTTCAATCTTGATAGGTTGCATGTGTCTAGGAATTTATCAATTTCTGCTAGAATTACTAATTTTTTGGCATATAATTTATCATAGTAGCCTATAATGATTCTCCGAATTTCTGAGGTATTGGTTTGTAATGTCTCCTTTTTCATCTCTAATTTTATTTAATTGGGTCTTCTCTTTTTCTTGGTCTGGCTAAAGGTTTTCTGATTTTGTTTATCTTTTCAGGAAACCAACTTTTTTATTTATCTTTTGTATCTTTTATTTCTATTGTATTTATTTCTGCTCTGATTTTTATTATTCTACTAATTTTGGGTTTGGCTTGCTCTTTTCTAGTTCTTTAAGAGGCATCATTAGGTTGGTGATTTGAAATTTTTTTAGTTTTTTGATATAGGCACTTATAAGTATAAACTTTCTTTTTAGTACTTCTTTCACTGTATCTCACAGGTTTTGCTATGAGATATGATCTCATCCCAATTAAAATGGCTATTGTCTTTTTAACTTTTATTTTAGGTTCACGGGTACATGTGCAGGTTTGTTATATAGGTAAACTCATGTCATGGGGATTTTGTGTACCTATTAGTTCATTACCCAGGTACTAAGCACAGTACCCAGTAATTATTTTTCTCTAATCCTCTCTTTCCTCCCACCTTCCTCAAGTAGGGCCCAGTGTCTGTTGTTCCCCTTTTAAGGTCAATTTGTTCTCATTATTTAGCTTCCACTTATAAGTGGGAGCATGTGGTATTTGGTTTTCTGTTATTGTGTTAGTTTGCTAAGGATAATGGCCTCTAGCTCCATCAATTGTTCCTGCAAAGGGCATGATATCATTTTTTTTGATGGCTACCTAGTATTTCATGGTGCATGTGTACCACACTTTCTTTATCCAGTCTACTGTTGATGGGCATTTAGGCTGATTTGATGTCTTTGCTATTGTGAATAGTGCTGCAGTGAACATACACATACATGTGTCTTCATGTTAGAAAAATTTATATTCTCTTGGGTATATACTCAGTAATTGGATTGTTGAGTCGAATGATAGTTCTGTTTTATTTCTTTGAGGAATTGACACATTGTCTTTCATAGTGGTTGCAGTAATTTGGATTCCCACCAGCAGTGTAGAAATGTCCCTTTTTCTCTGTAGCTTGTAGCATCTGTTATTTTTTGACTTTTCAACTGTTGCCATTCTGACTGGTGTGAGATGATATCTCATGTGGTTTTGATTTGCATTTCTCTAACAATCAGTGACATTGAGCTTTTTTACTTATGCTCGTTGGCTGCATGGATGAAAATCTTCTTTTGAGAAGTGTCTGTTTATGTTCTTTGCCCACTTTTTAATATTTTTTTCTTGTAAATTTGTTAAAGTTTCTTATAGATACTGGATATTAGACCTTCATCAGATGCATAGTTTGCAAATATCTTCTCCCATTCTATAGGTTATTTATTCACCCTGTTGATAGTTTTTTTTGTTGT